TTGAGTTTGTATCTATTTTGTGCTCTTGTGTTGTTATGGTTGAAGCTGAAGTATTCATCGACAGGTAGGACATTGCAATGTATGATTTTATATACCATGCTTAAATCAGACCGAAGACGGCGTAGTTCAAGGTTTTCTAGTTCTAGAATTTCAAGTCTGGTGGCATAAGGTATTCTACAACGAGTAGAGGAGTGGAGAACTCTTCTTGTGAAATATTTCTGGACTTTCTCAATTGTGCTAATATCAGATACGTAATGTGGGTTCCAGACTGATGAACTGTATTCGAGTATTGGTCTAGCAAATGTTTTGTATGCTCTGGTTAGTAGTGTGATATTACCAGAGAAAAAGCTATGTAGAATTAGGTTAACAACTCTTAATGCCTTTTTGGCTATGTAGTTGCAGTGGGCTCTAGCACTTAGATCATTAGAGGTGAGTATTCCAAGGTCCTTTACAGAGCTTGGGTCATCAACAAGATCATGACTATTCAGCTTGTATTTTATTTTCTGATTTTTTTTGCCAATATGTAAGACAGAGCATTTATTTGTTGAGATTTGAAGTTGCCATTTGTTTGACCATTTTGATACATAGTCAAGATCTTTTTGTAGGGTAGCAGTATTGTCTGTGGTATTGAACAGCTTTACATCATCAGCGAAGAGAACGCAATTGCTCTTAATATGATCACAGACGTCATTTATGTAGAGTATGAAGAGAGTTGGTCCTAGAACACTGCCTTGGGGGACACCACTATTGACAGGTACAGAATTTGATAGGACGCTCCCAATTTTGACCATTTGTTGTCTGTTTGCCAGGAATGCTTCTATCCAGTTATTCAGTTGTCCAGAGATACCATAGGATTTTATTTTTAGGAGTAGTTTTATCGTGTACCACTGAATCAAAGGCTTTACAGAAGTCTATGTAGATTGCGTCTATTGCTTTGCCCTGGTCGAGTTGTGTCGTCCATATGTTTTTGCAGTGTAAGAGTTGCAGATTACAGGATAGTTTTTTTCTGAAACCAAATTGTTTATTGGAGAGTAGGTTATTTGTCTCTAAGTGGAGGATGATGGATTGGTTAATAATTGATTCCATGACTTTACAGGTGACGCAGCATAAGGAGATTGGCCTGTAATTTTCAACTAGGCTTGGGTCTCCCTTTTTGAAGATGGGGATGACTGTGGCTTGTGACCATAGGTTAGGCAAGGAGCTGGTCCTGAAAGATTTTTCAAAGATTATGCTTAGAGGTTTGGCTATGGCAGTGGATAGCTTTTTTAAGAAGTAGGCACATATTCCATCCGGTCCAATAGATAGAGATGGTTTTAGATTGCGTAGTGCTTTTTTAACATTGTCTTCTGTGAAATCGATATGTATTCGATCATTGTTGTTATCTGTGGTACGGCTTGGAAATACTGGGCATGATCCATTGCTGTTTACAAATACTGAGCCGAAGAATGTGTTAAAGATGTTGGCTTTAATGGTGTCATCGTTGCAGACTTTACCATCAGGTCCTATCAAGGGAGGGATGGACCTTGAGTCTTTTAGTTTGTTGTTTACAAAATTGTAAAAAGCACGGGTGGAATTGGTGCTTAGAAGGTTTTCCTCTTGTTTAATATGATAATTGGTGCATTCGGTCTTTATCTGGTGGCATAAATTTTTGTATCGGCTTTTGAAATTGGCAACGTGACCAGATTTGTTTTTCCGCCAGAGTGATCTCTTTTTGGATTGAAGTTTCCTTATTGTTATGGGTAATCTGCTTTTTTGTTTTGTTTTGGGAGTTGTTGTTGGTACATATAGTTTGATGACTCTTTTGACTTCAAGTAAAAATATGTTGTAATGGTCTTCAACAGTATTGCATCCAGTAAATAGAGATTGCCAATCAAGGGATGAGAGATCGTTGTCTATAAGATCATAGTTGCCTTTTTTGAAGTTACAATTGGGGATTACATCATTGTGGTGATTTTTGTGTGGACGTATGTTGAGACAAAAGTCAATCATATTGTGGTCACTGCTGGAAAAGGGTTCTTTAGTTTGTAATCCGTAAATTAAATTCAAACTATTGCAGAAGATGAGATCGAGGCAGTTGTTTAGTCTAGTGTTGTTGGTTACTAGTTGTTCCAGTCCCAGATTTGTAATAGCATTGTAGAAGGTTGTGTGTATGATTTCAGTTGTACAATCATTTAGGGTCCAGTCAATATGAGGTAGATTGAAATCACCAAGAAAGATAAAAGGGTATGGGCAGGATGCAGCCCATGTTAGTAATGTATTTAGCTTGTTTACATGTTCGATGTCATAATCAGGTGCTCTGTAACATAGTAAGAATCGAATTGTGATATTTAAGGATAGTTCACAGATGATGGTCTCAGGAAGAGCAAGCTCCTGGGTAACTTGGATATTTTTTAGATGTAAGGATTTTTTATAGAAGATAGCAACACCACCTCCTTGACGATTTTCACGATCTGATCGGTAAACATGATAGTCTCTTACTGTGGTAATGGAGTCGGGGAGAGATGCATTGAGCCATGTTTCACAGACAAATATAATGTCGAAGTTAGCCATATTTAGTAGGATGAGAAATTCAGGTATTTTATTCACGAGGCTTCTTGCATTGAGTAGTTTGCATTTAAGGCCGGCAGTAGTTGGAATTGAGGTAGTTGGGGGCGTGCGTGCCTAGTCTTGGGTGATGGTGGATCGGTTGAGGTAGGGTTGTGGTTGAGGGTAAAAGCTGAGTATTGGGTTGTGTGGCTTACTTTTGATACAGTCAGCATGGTAGTCAATGTACAGGTCCTTCTCTCCATTGTCTAGACGGTTTTTGAGTTCAATGCGGAGTACACGGGAGCGGGCACGTTGCTGTATGGTTAGGTCAGGGCGACAACGGAGGTTCTTATGGTTGGTGTTGGTTTTGGCGAGTGAGTTTATAGTATAAATGAATTTACGTTTGCTTGATTCATTTTTGCAAATGACTCTGCACAGGCGAGGGGCCACAGAGCTGTCACTGTTATTGAGCTCTCGGCCAATGCGTGAAATGTCAAGTATTTCATCAGCGGAGATGGTTGATGCTTGATAATCCCTGATGATGTTTCGGACAGTTGTGATGTCATCATTGTTATTGGTGACCTCTAGACCATATAAGATGGCGTTTGGACATTTCCGTTCACACTCAACAGCTTCTCTGATGAGGATTGGGATATCAATATTTGTCTGGGTTGTGTTTTTTTGTGGATTGGGTTTTGGATTGGGTTGTGGTTGTTGGGTAGAGATGTGGTTTGTAGCTATTGGAAGTTCAGGTTTTTGCGTTGTTTCTTTTTTTTCAAGGTTGGATATTCTTTCTTTTACGGCGTCCAGGGATGCTACTATGGTTTCAATGGTATCAATTCTTTCCAACAGATCCAGTTTGGGTTTGCATGATTTGCAGTAATATGGAAACTCATTGGATGATTCCAGGTATTGAATAAATTGCTTGGTTAATCCCAAGCAGTCATGATGAGTGTATTTCTTACACAGAGAACATTTGATGGAGTTTTCATTATCCTCTAGATTTTTGTAGCATTTAAGGCATGTGCAGGAGTCATTTGGGCTTGTTTTTTGGGCTCAGGTTTACTCACGGTTCCTGATGTAACAGCAGCTTTAAAAGTGGTTTCTGGTGCGGGTGATGGCTTTATAGGGAGGTACTGCTTCAGGAGCGAAGTCTTCACCTTCCTAGTTGGGCGTCGCCATTTTCTCTAAAAATTTTCTCTAAAAATAAACATAATCCTGGGGGGCCGGGAGCCTCCACGTCCTTCTCGCCTCTCTTTGCGGGCGCTTGTGGGGCGGCATCCATGGCTTTGGCTGGGCTCCCCCTGTTGCTGCTGGTGGGGGCGCTGGGCCGGATCCCTGGAAGCGAAGGGGGGAAGGAGACCCCTGGTAAGAAGGGTGCAGGGTGGGGGTGGAGGGGGCTGAGAAGGACCTCCAGAGCCTCCAACAGCCTCGATCTCTGCGTGGTCTCCTTTCCCTTCCCTACCCCTATTGTTCCCCCAGGAGGAGGGAGAGGGGCCCCTCCCTTGTTCCCCGGTTGTAGCCGAGGTGGGGGTCACAGCCGGGACCCTCTCTGCCCACCCCCCATTGTCTGGGTCGGAGTGGGCTGCCTGGAAAGAGGCAGGGAAGGAAAAGCGAAAGAGGGAAACTGAGGCATTTTCAGCCCTGAAGCCCCAGAAGGAAAAAGAGCCAAAGAATTTTGGCTTCTGCAGAAACTTCGCTTTTTCTTCTGAATCTCAGATTTGAGGCTTTGGAGGTCAGGCAAGAGGGAAGCTTCGGTCCCTTCTGGGGGAGGCTCTGAATTTGGGGAGGGGACCAAGAACCCCCCACCCCCATAATCCCCCACTCGTTCCATCGGAACCTGGAAGGGGAGGGGGGAATGGAGGGAGGGGGGCTCTGAGTTGCTCCTCCGAAAGTGCCTCCCCGTTTAGTGATGGGGAGGCTCTTGGGGGAGGCTGCGGAGGTCTTTTGGGGAGGGGGAAAGGAAACAGGTGGGGATCCCCGACAGTCACCCAAAGGGAGGGAAATGGGCTGAAGATTTGGGGAAGAAGAAAAGTTGGGGGGGGGGAATCCAGGGAAGGGGGTGTTGAAGGACTGGGAGACCTCAAGAATATGAGTCTAGATGTCCTCCTGGTGCCCCTCCACGTATTCCCCTCCCCCAAAGGAAGAGAGAGCAGGAGGTGTGGATATTACCTTCCCTCCAGCCCTCCCCCCACCGTTCCTCCCTGTGGAGATGCAACGTTCCCTACAGACAGAAGATCTGCTTGACCAGTGGAGCTTCTGCCTGCCCTCCCCCCCCGAAGGGATGGAGGGGGGTCCGTTAAGGAGCCTCCTCCCATCCCCCTTTCTTTCCTCCCCCCCCAGTGTGCCTCCCCCTCAGAGTGAGAGAGGCCCCCCTCCCTCCTCCAGGGGCGTCTCCCATCCGTCCCTCAAAGGAAGGTCCCCCCTCTCCCTTCCTGGGTGGGACCCTCCTCCTCCTCTACTGTTGGCTGGGAGCGATGGGCCCTGGAGTCCCTCCTGATGGCCTTCCTCCTCCTCCTCCTCCTCCTCCTTTTCCTGGCAGCCCATTTCCTGTACCAGGCGAAGGCCGAGTGCCTCTTCCTCAACGGGACACAGCGGATGCGGTTCCTCAATTGGTACTTCTATGACCGCCAGGAGATTGTCCGCTTCGACAGCGACCTTGGGAAGTTCGTGGCCGTCACAGCGTTGGGGGAGCCGATTGCGGACTATTGGAACGGAGATAAGCAGTGGATGCAGTACCAGAAGGCCCGAGTGGATTCCGTCTGCGGATACAACTACGAGCTGTTGAACTTCGAGGCGGCCAAGAGGGAGGAAGAAATCATAATTTTGAGGGGGAGGGGAAACACGAAAAGAGAAGTTAGAAGTTCTGCTTGGATCTGCCTGGATCTGGGGCCCCTGTTGAATATTTATGTATGTATGTATGTATGTATGTATGTACGTATGTATGTATGTATGTATGTATGTATGTATGTATTTAGTTATTTATTTATTGATGTCAATTGCTTACAAGATAATAGGTATAAGTAAAAACATAGTTATGAATACATGAAATGGGTACATATAAGAAAAATAAAAGAATCATTAGGACAGGGACGGTAGGCACCTTGGTGCGCTTATGCACGCCCCCTACAGGCCTCTTAGGAAAGGGGTGAGGTCAATAGTAGACAGTCTAAGGTTAAAGTTTTTGGGGTTTGGGGAAGGAACCAAAAAGTCAGGTAGAGGATTCCAGACATTGACCACTCTGTGGCTGAAGTCGTATTTCCTGCAATCAAGTTTGGTGCGGTTAACCTTGAGTTTGTATCTATTGTTTGCTCTTGTGTTGTTATGGTTGAAGCTGAAGTATTCATTGACAGGTAGGACATTGCAGTGTATGTGTCAGACTGTGCTCCTTCTAAATCCCAAGAAAGAAATACTCAGACTCCATGGTGTAGAGCAGAATTATTCTTTTACTGGAAATTGAATGGTAGCAACAGAATCAATTCTGAAACTGAGAAATTGGCGGGTAAAATGCATATACAAAGGGATAGAATTGCTCCCCCCCTCCAAAGATCAAATGATTCTTCCAATTAAAACTTCTGAATAGGATCATGTGGTCATCTCCAGGTGATGATGAGGCTACTGTCAGTGACCTTGACATATTTTGATAAAAGTTCGCAGTTGTGCAGAAAAGGACAGAAGCTAGTGAAGAAATGGAAAGTTAAAGCAAAGAATCCCCCCTTCCCTTCTTAACCCAGCAAAGGAATGCAAAACACCTCCTGCCTTCTTCCCCTCCAAGATTCCCCCCTCCCACCCTTTCATGACAGCCGAAAGAGAAAAAGAGCATAGCAGCAAATAAGCATAGTTAGGGGTGAAGATATCTTGAGGCTGACATTCGGACCCCCTAGAAGAAGGACATTAGTCCCTGTAAGAAAAAACAATCATATATTAACATTGGCATACATTTCTATGGTTTATCAGGATATTTGGCATAAAAATTCTTAAGCAGTTCAGGAGCCCTAATGTCTTTCTCATTAACCCATTCAGCATAGGATGGAGGAAAATGTTTCCAAGCTACAAGATATTGGACATGACCCCTCCATTTCCTAGAGTCTAGAATTTCTTTAATCTCGAAATGTTGTTCCCCCTCGATCAACAGTGGTACGGGGGGATCAGACTGGGTCGGTCTCAAGGTACTGGTATGTTCGGGTTTCAACAAACTGACGTGGAAAACTGGATGAATACGACGAAGAGTCTTTGGTAAAGTCAGTTGAACAGTCACCGGATTTACAATCCTCTCAATGGGAAAAGGCCCCACATACTTAGGACCCAACTTCTTCGATTTCTGGGTAGTCTGCAAGTATTTGGTCGAGAGGAATACTTTATCGCCCACCTTATACAACATCTGTGGGGCTCGCTTTCTGTCAGCAAATTTCTTATGAGATTGGTGCGCCTCGTCCAAAGCTTTGCGAGCGACCGGCCAATTTAGTTGAAGTTTAGATATCCAGTCGCCCAACGATTGGACATTGGGTTTTTCTCGAGGCAGTTCAGGTATGGGCACAAAATCTTGTCCCGTGGCCACTTTGAAAGGAGTAAACCCCGTACTACTGTGTACAGAGTTATTATATGCCACCTCCGCAAAAGGCAGTAAGTCCACCCAATTGTCTTGCTGATAGTTTATATAACATCTAAGGTATTGTTCTAACACCCCGTTTGTCCTCTCACAGGCCCCATTAGTTTGGGGATGATGGGCAGAGCTTAAGCTCTGGGTGGAGCCTATCAACTTCAAGAATTCCCTCCAAATGTTCGAGGTAAATTGGACCCCCCGATCAGAAACTACACGCTCAGGAACGCCGTGCAACCTGTAGACATGTATAATGAACATTCTGGCCAATGATTTCGCTGAAGGAATCTTGGAGCAAGGGATGAAATGGGCTTGTTTGGAGAACAAATCAGTCACCACCCAAATGACGGTGTGTCCAACACTCTCGGGTAGATCTGCTATAAAGTCCATGGAAATTTCCTTCCAAGGAGCAGTTGGCCTGGCCACATTCTGCAACAAACCTGGTGGTTTACCAGGAGGCCTCTTTGCTGAAGCACAAACTGGACAGCTCGCCACATAAGTCTCAATGTCCTTTTTCAACGAAGGCCACCAAAACTGCCGTTTGACCAAATGTAGAGTCTTCACAAACCCAAAATGACCAGCCGCTTTAGAATCATGAGTTTGTTGTAAAACTTGGCTTCTCAGGATTTGAGGTACATACAATTTTGCACCTATCCAGGCTAGACCATCTCGAACGGTGCAATTATTCGCATTTGCTAGGAACCACTCATCTGTTTTCAAAGCCTCCTTAAATCGTTCGATCAGGTCAGTGGACAGATCTCTCTCCTGGTCCCTTTTTTGTGCTCTGGTAACTACGGGAGCAGCCAACTGTGTAGTGGACACGATTGGTCTTACCACTTCTTTTCGGATACTGTTGTATTGAGGCATTCTAGACAAAGCATCTGCCATAAAAAAAATTCCCCCGGGATATACTTCAACGAGAAATTGAATCGCTTGAAAAACTGAGCCCACCTAACTTGCTTAGGAGATAGCTTTCGGGGAGTTTTTAAAGCTTCCAGATTTTTATGGTCCGTCCATACCTCAAATGGGTGTTTCGCTCCTTCCAAAAAATGTCTCCAGGCTAGTAAAGCCCAACGGACTGCAAACACTTCCTTCTCCCAAACGGCCCATCTCCTTTCAGTGTCAGTCAATTTACGGGAGGTATAAGCGCATGGCTGTAGTGTCCCCTTCTCATTTAATTGAAGTAAGACCGCCCCCACCGCCACATTGCTTGCATCAGCTTGGATCACGAAAGGGGCATCCATGTCGGGGTGTTTCAATACTGGTTCTGCAGCGAAAAGTCTTTTAAGCTTTTCAAATGCGGCTTGGCATTCCATGGACCAGTTCAACGGTTGACTGGGTTTTGGTTTCGGTTCCCCCTTTGTCTTCAGGAGGTTGGTGATGGGCATGGCTATTTTTGCAAAAGACGGGATGAATTGCCGATAGAAGTTGGCAAACCCAAGAAAACTTTGAAGTTGCTTACGGGTTCTCGGTGGGGCCCAATCCAATACAGCTCGCACTTTCTCTGGGTCCATCTCGATGCCCTCGGGAGAGATACGATATCCCAAGTAGTCGATTTTTTCTTGATGGAACTCACACTTGGACAGTTTGGCGTACAGTTTGGCTGCCCTCAGCTTGTGCAACACCGAGCGTACCAGTTTCACATGTTCGTGTCTATTCTCCGTGTAGATGAGAATATCATCAAGGTAGACCAGAACCCCCTTGTATAGATGTTCGTGAAGCACTTGATTTATCATTTGCATGAAAACAGCGGGCGCCCCCTGTAGGCCGAAAGGAAGAACGTTGAACTGGAAACAACCCATCGGGCAGTTCCACTCGTCGCCTTTCTTAATTCGGATTCTGTAGTATGCCTCCCTCAAGTCCAACTTTGTGAAAATCTTCCCCTTTGCCAGGTGGGCTAGCATGTCCTTTATCAGGGGGAGGGGGTACATGTTCTCCACCGACACCGCATTTAAATTTCGGTAGTCAACCACCAGACGTTTGGAGCCGTCTTTCTTCTCGCGGAACATTACGGGGGCCGCCACTCGGGGTCTGGCAGGCGTGATGAAACCACGTTTCAGGTTCTTGTCGATGAACGCTCTCAGTTCTTCCAGCTCCCCCGGTGTCATCGAATACAGCTTCGGTTTCGGGAGCGTTACCCCCGGTAGAAATTCAATGCTGCAATCGGTTGATCGATGGGGAGGGAGCTCGTCAGAAGCCTCTTCGCTAAACACTTCTCTTAAGTCCCAGTACTCCTTCGGGATTTTCTCCTCCCCATCCGCTCGTTCGACACCTGCGGAAGCTGCCTTGGCCGGAACTTGGGGCTTCGGATGGGACTTCTCCTCCCCCTCCGGATGGTGGGGCTCCTCCCCTTCCGGTGGCCAATCGGTGCGGATGCGTATCCACCCCTCTCTCCAGTTCACCTGGGGGTTCCACTTCCGAAGCCAAGGTAATCCCAATATTAAAGGCTGTTCCATCCCAGGGGCCACAATAAAGCATAAGACCTCGCGGTGAGTTCCCATGGTCATCTCTAAGGGTTCCGTTATAAAGCGCGCCGGGCAACCTCCCGCCACAGATCCGTCCAATTGACAGAAAGCTATGGGCGTTCTTAAAGTTCTCAGTCCGATGCCCATATTTTTAACTACTTTCATGTTAATTACACACCTCGTGCACCCCGAGTCCAACAAGGCCAACATCTCTCCCTCGGTCCCCGATGTAGGCTCCCTTAACTTTATTGGGATGGTCATGGGCCCCTGGGTAGGACTTACCGGGACGTCATCCTCCGAATCGGTCTCGTTCTCGTCGAATAGGGTTGGAGGTCCCAGCTCCTCTCCCGTCGGAAGGGCGACATCTACAACCTCCCTCGCCTTCAGTCCGGTCTCGCGGGGCTTGGTTGAGGGGTTTTCGGGCTTCCTCCCTGGACCCTGCGTCTTCGGTGGGACCAACTTGACTCGGCACTCCGCCATCCGGTGGCCCCCCTTCCTGCAACGGAAACAGGCTGTGGTCTTGGCTCTTGCCGCCATCCCTCCTCTTTGGGGGGTGGAGGTCTCTTGGAGATGTGGGGGGAGTAGCTTTCTCCAGCCGGGGCCTCCCCTGCGCCTGCTTCGAGCCAGATCAATATCCACCTCTTCCGCCAGCAAGTACCACGACTGCAAATCACGTGGGTCCCTCCGGGAGATGCACATGTGGTATACATCTTCATTTAAGCCGTCTTTGTAGGTTTCCACCAGGGCCTCTTGGGGCCAGCCTCGGAGACAGGAGACCAACTGCCTGAACTCCTGGGTGTAATCTGCAACCGATCTCCCCCCTTGGGTTAAGGTTTTCATTTTGA